ATGAAACAGAGTCTAGAACACAGGTACCCACCCAAACAGTTTTAGGAGTGTAGATGTAAGAAGGTGGAGGATCTGGAAATTGACTCCTTTAAAATTATTTCCAACTCTATACTTCTTGAAAGTCTTTGCAGATCTCTCACAGCCATGTGAAGACTCACTGTTGTATATCAATCACTACAGTTAACCAGTTACAGTCCTTACAGTGTCACTGCATATCTGTACTAGCAATAAGGGAAACCTCATATACAAACAATAAGTAAAACCAAAACTTATATCCTTAGTTATACGAGTTCTGTTCATCTAGTCTTCAGGTGGTTCTCCAGGTAGATTTCTCGATAATTTAGTTGTCATTTTGATGTGATCCTGGAGGAGATGAGCATCTCGCCATCTTGACTGGAATCCTCCACAATCAAAAACTAAAACTTTTAACAAGTCAGAATACTTATCCTATCTAATAAAAGACAAAAAGGGTAATTGACCGTACCTTTGCTACACTTCCCATTGGCTAATCAGCGCCATATGCAAATTAATTTGCATACTGCAGGCAGGGCTGGCCAGCGCCACACACCCTCTGGGCCGGGTGAGGCCCAGGGCGCTGGGCTTCGGCGGTGCGATCGTGTCACCTAAGCCCCGCCCCAGCTGGGACTCCCATGTGCTGCCTAAGCCCCATGCGCCTAAGCCCCGCCCCAGCGGGGACCCCTCGAGTGCCGCCTAAGCCCCATGTGCCTAAGCCCCGCCCCAGCCAGGACCCCCGAGTGCCGCCTAAGCCCCATGCGCCTAAGCCCTGCCCCAGCAGGGACCCCCGAGTGCCGCCTAAGCCCCATGCGCCTAAGCCCTGCCCCAGCAGGGACCCCCGAGTGCCGCCTAAGCCCCATGCGCCTAAGCCCTTCCCCAGCGGGGACCCCTCGAGTGCCGCCTAAGCCCCATGTGCCTAAGCCCCACCCCAGCCAGGACCCCCGAGTGCCGCCTAAGCCCCATGCGCCTAAGCCCTGCCCCAGCAGGGACCCCCGAGTGCCGCCTAAGCCCCATGCGCCTAAGCCCTGCCCCAGCCGGGACCCCCGTGTGCCGCCTAAGCCCCATGCGCCTAAGCCCCGCCCCAGCCGGGACCCCCCGTGTGCCGCCTAAGCCCCATGCGCCTAAGCCCCGCCCCAGCCGGGACCCCCGTGTGCCGCCTAAGCCCCATGCGCCTAAGCCCTGCCCCAGCCGGGACCCCCCGAGTGCCGCCTAAGCCCTGCTGCCAGCTGGGACCCCATCGCGATCCCAGAGCAGGCAAGTGCAGAGGGGAGGGTGGCAGGTGCCCAGGTGGGCCTGTTTATGGATGCCATGGTGATCCCAGAGCAGACAAGTGCAGAGGGCGGCACCCAGGTGGGCCTGCTTCTGGGATGCCATGGTGATCCCAGAGCAGGCAAGTACAGAGGGCGGGCCTGTGTCCAGGCCAGCGCCACATAGTAGCCATCGCTGCCAAAGAGCAGCCCCATGAGCACACTGAGGATCATCCCGACATATTTGTAGCTGCTGTAGGCCAACAGGTGGAAGGTGCTCAGGTCACTGGGAAAAGTGGCCAGGTAGGGTGGCCCGCCCCCTGGTGGACCTGCTGCTGGGATTGCCATGGCGATCCCAGAGCAGGCAAGTGTGGAGGGCAGGCGGCCCCAAGGTGGGCCTTCTGCTGGGATCGCGATGGCGATCCCAGAGCAGGAAAGTTCCCCACAGGCAGCACCCAGCAGGGCCTGCCCCCAGTCTCTGAAGTGATCCGGTGATCCATGAGCAGGAAAGTGTAGCCTGCAGGCAGCACCCCACCCTGGCCATAGCTCAAGGGAGAGAAAAACATGCACTGGAGGCCAGGAGCCTGAGATCAAAACAGAGGGGCACCTGCTCCAAGCCTCCAAGGTGTGGCTGGGGGCAGGCCCCCAGCAGACACACACACTCACACACACACACACACACACAGCGCCTGCTCTGAGCCTCCAATGCGGCTGGGGGCAGGCCCCCAGCGGACACACACACACACAGGACGCTTGCTCCGAACCTCTGCTGCCAGACTGGCAGTCAGTAGAATATCCACTGAGGGCTCCCGGACTGTGAGAGGGGCAGGCTGGGCTGAGGGAACCCCACCGAATTTCGTGCACTGGGCCTCTAGTTTAAAAAATAAAATGCCAACAAAGTGATATTACCAAAATAAATACTACTGCACTTAGCATGTACCACTTTGCATTTACAATTATCTTCCACATGCGTTATCTCATTTACATCTTCCCATCATCCTATGAAGTAGATGTTGCCTCCATTCCACCTGTTTTCACAGTGAGGAAATTGAGGATCTGAGAAGTGACTTGTTTACAGAAGGTGGAATTAAGATCTTTTCACTCCTAGTGTATTTTTTTTTTTCAACACCATTTTTTTTTCTTTTTTAAATTGATTTCAGAGGGGACGGGAGTGGGAGAGAGATGGAAACATCAATGATGAGAGAGAACCATTAACTGGCTGCCTCCTGCCTTCCCCACACTGGGTATCAAGCTCACAACCCGGGCATGTGTCCTGACCGGTAATCGAACTGTGACCTCCTGGTTTATAGGTCAACACTCAACCACTGAGCAACCTGGCTGGGCTATAACACCATTTCAGAGAGTATTCTTGATTCAGAGAGTATTCTTGAGTCCTTACTGTCGATGAGGCAAAACTTTGGAGTGTAGTCTGAATCTTTCTGTTAACCCTGCTGCCATTGTCATATTCGTTGGGTAATCTACTTTGTGTTAAGCACCACCCTCTATGCTCTTAGGCACTCTCAGGCCTTGCAGATAATCTGTCAAATAATCCATGGATTCTGTCATCAAGGAGTTCACTCACAGTAGAGAAAAGAGTTATGCATATTAAAAAGGTAACTATTGGACATCACTGGAGAATCAAAATAGTACCATTGCTCTTTCTCAGGAGAATAGTAAGCAGTACTTGGACGTAGTCCAACAGTCTTATCACAGCAAGAAGCTCCCTTTGTTTGGCATGGGGCCCATGCTTTCTGGGCCTAGTAATCAAGGGACTCTAATGAGTAAGAGAATTCTTATAGAAAATTCATAATATACAGTGGCAACATAGAGAGGAATCATGTATTGTAAAATTTACCTTTGAAAATTCCTTACATGGTTTTCAATATATAACCCAGAGCAGTGACTGAAATATGTAAAGTGTTCAAGTGTATATTGATTGCCTGTATGCAGTATGAGATACATATATAAAAATTTTTACAATGTTTTTAATTATATTATTGAATTTGTATAGGACTCAACTCTCTATCCTTTGGTCATGTGATATCCACCATGTATATTAGATAGTTTTATGGTATGAAATTAGAGAGAGCTTGTGTTTTGGAGTGTTTTGTTTGTTTGCTTGCTTTTTTCAGACAGAAACTTGAGCATTTTCATATGATGAGTGTAAAGACTCAGTGAGTAAAGAGAAGTGGAAAATACAAAACAGGAGGCAGAAAAAGATGCCATCCAGGGGACCTTAGAAATTTTCTGACAGAAAACAATTATATTAACTGGATTCAACCTTTGGATAGTTTACTTAACCTCTCTGTGCTTTAGTTTCACCATCTCTAAAATGGGGATAATACTTTGACCTACCACACGGGGTCGTTTTAAGGATTAAATTAGTAAATACAGCAAAGAGACCCTGACACATACTAAACATGAAATAAATATTCGCTGTCATTTGTTTTGTTTACATTGTACTTTTTCTTATATATTTGATCAGAGGTTCTTTGTATATTTTAAATTATATTTTCTTATTTGTATAGTTAAGCTTGCCTATACTTTTGTCTACTTGATTAATAAATAGATCTACTTACAGTAGTAATGTATTGTCCTATTTTAGTCTAACTAGATGTTGTTGGTTCTGTAAAACATCTTAAAAGTCTTTCTAAGATGTTATATTAAATGACATCTTTTTCTAGCCACACAGTTAATCAACTCAATATTCTGTGATATATAAGATATACATATCTATTATATGATATCTGTTATACACCAAAAAAATGTAAGTATGTGTAGGATTTGAGAATTACATGAAAACTTATAAAGTATATAATTTCTTCTTTCTGAAACCTATACCTATTTAAATGACTGTTATTTCAAAGTAGTCTTTTGAGCACGGAAGTAAATAAAAATGGTCTTCTAAAAAAATAGTATAGCAATATAGGCAGGAATGAAGGGGACAGGCTCCAGTCTTACTGTGGAAGGAACTATAATGACCAGGACCTGAGTAATAATAAGCGGAATGGAGGTGGCTGTCTAGAACCAGAGCTAAAGTCATATATTTAAGGTGTATTTCAATAGAAGAATTGATAGAACTTCATGTTTAATTGATCATAGAGATTAATATTTATACTGTCAAATGTAAATGAGCTTTTATTCATTGTTTTTGATATATGGATGTGGTGAATTTTTTATTCCCTTGATTTTTACATTATTCCTAAACTGCAACCAAATTTGTGAGATATAATAGTCTAGCATTAAATTTATTAAATTTTAAACCATCTCATGATATTTTGTTTAAACCTTAATGAAAATCAGCAGGGTATAAGTGAGATCAAGTCAGACCCAACTCAGTGTTTTGGTGCTTGATTAATGGCTGGCACTGAAGAAGATTTCTTTGCATAGCGATTGAATTATCACCACTGTTAGCAGATGGTGCACTGTAATGTTGAGCCCATAAAATTAAAATGTGTTTTGTAGCACAGTGGAAATTTTTGAAAGGCCTATAGTTCCCTTTAGAATTGAGACTTTTTAATACTATAAATTTACATCTTTCTCATAGTATTGTCTTCATAATGTTGTCTTTCACTGGTGTATGTTGAAAGAATTCTCAAAAGGGAATCTCAAATACTGTGTAATATGTAAGTTTAAAATGTTCACAATAATATTATTGCATTTTTATCACATCTGGATCTTGTGCCATTTACACAGAAGATATTTTTACATATTTTGTGATTCAATTTTGTTTTGCAGCGATCGATATGTTGGTAAAATTTATTCCAAATCCTCTTCCTTTCTGGATTATGTCAGAAAGTCTCTAAAGAAGCTTGGATTAGATGAGTCCAAGGTCAGTATATGATTACCCATTGTTTTCATAAAAACAGGAGAATTTCTATGGGGTAATGAATTGAGATAATATAAAATCATTGCCTTCTATTTTTCTCTTATTTAGTGAAAACATTCTAAATTATATTGGAACCAAACCTCCATTACCTTTATTTCAGTTTACCTTTTAGGTTTATTCAAGGAAAAACATGCCAATCCTCAAATCAAAATGGGAATTGTAAGTAAAACAAGAGACAATGGCTTTAATTTTGAACTGCTTATATTTAATATATAGCTGATTATATAGCTAATTACAACTAAAAATCTTAAATTCAAAAAGCCTTTAAGCTAATAATTGAGAACATATTGTTGAAGACAAAGAGTTAAGCTAATTGACTACTACTAATAAATATTCTAACACTGAGAAAAAAATTCTCAACATGATTTAAATGATTTATCTAAAATATTAAGTTTATATTTAAACTTATATTAAGTTTAGCTTAGGATCACTCTGGTATTTTGATTGATTATAAGTTGAAATAAAGAATAAAATATGGTTAAAGGAATGAACTATGTCTCTTGAAAGAGAAAATTTATGCAGATATGGTTATTTCAAAGCAAAAGGTTATTTTTAGTTATTATAACAATTATCCATTTACTCTCCAGTTGCTTTATTGCTTAAAGCAAGCAGACTGGTACAAAACAGTTTCCTCCCCCTGTAAAATTACTATTTAAAAAAAGCATTTCTAACTCATAGGATTTAAGAAAGATTAAATGAGGTAAATACATAAAAGACTGAGTGAACACAATGTTTGTTCATAGTAAATGCTAACTAAAGAGTACTAGTTTTTATTCTGATCTTTGTATATTTACCACTTATCATGGCACCATTAATATGACTCCTGTAAGTATTTTTATTAAGTCACCAAAATGAAGATCCTTCTAGTCTTGAATAAATTAACAAGAATAGACACTTTTATCATAGTTATTTTATTTCTAGGTTTTGTAAAATATTTTTAAGCAGATTGATCCTCCTTCCAATTAGTATAAATTAGTGCATATCTTTATTGCTGTCTCAATTTCATGTGTTGCATTTAATATCAAGATCACAAACCTACACATTATTTTCACAAATAAAGAGCTAAGTTTTTATTTTTTTTAAATCTTTTTTATTTTTATTTATTTATTTATTTATTTATTTATTTTTTATTTTTTTTTATTGCTTAAAGTAATACAAAGGGTATTACATATGTGTCCATTCCCCCCCCCCCCGCCCTAAACAGTCCCCTAGCCTCCCCTATCCCCCAGTGTCTTATGTCCATTGGTTATGCTTATATGCATGCATACAAGTCCTTTGGTTGATCTCTTACCCCCCTACCTCCTGTCCCCCAACCCTCCCCGGCCTTCCCGCTGCAGTTTGACAATCTGTTTGAGGCAGCTCAGCCTCTGTATCTATTATTGTTCAAAAGTTTATAATGGTCTCTATTATCCATGAATGAGTGGGATCATGTGGTATTTTTCCTTCATTGACTGGCTTATTTCACTTAGCATAATGCTCTCCAGTTCCATCCATTATGATCAATACTATAATATTTCCCAATGCAATGATCTAGAAAGAAAGGCTCAGAAAAAGGCAAATTGGTTTCCTAGGGTCAAAGAGCTAGCAAGTGGTAGAGCTGGAACTTAAACACAGATTCAACATGGAAACTTCAACATTACCCACCACCATACTGAGAAGTGAAATTGGAAACAAAAGTGAAAGAGACTAATGTAGATGAGTGTCACCATGTAAAAATTAGTCTTAAATGATTAACTTTATTAGTTAAGAAAAACAAAAATAGTGCCTCACTAATTTTCTCATTATACTATTGAAACTCATTGAAAACAAATATGTTGAATAAAATTGGTTAGAAAAAGAAAAGGAACAGGAAAGTACAGAACAATATAAGATGTTTAAAAGGATGTGATGATGAGAGGAAGCAAATAGCCGAGTTTATGTAATTTGGGCTTTGTTTGTTTTGGGTATTTGGGGGGTTTTGGGTTTTTTTGGCCTGTTTTAATTTTAAGCAACAGGAATTAAGAAACTTGTGTTCATCAGGCCAGAATGGATGGGAATAGAATAAGTACTTAAAATTAGACTTATATTTCCAATCGAATACAAAATCCTATTTTTTTCTTCCACATCATGAAGTATCAGTGTTAAAATGAAAGTTTTTACCACAAGCACAATAAAGAAGACACATATGTATATGTATAGTTTTATTTTTTAAATAAAATTAATTTTCTAAAAAAAAAAATTAATTTTCACCTAGGATTCTGACTACTAAAAAGTATCAAAACCACTTAACTTTAAAAGAGTAAATATGCCAAAATATTTAAAAGATCTTTGACTAAATTTATAATCATGTGTCAACAAACTGTGTAATTGAAAGTGTGGTATTTCTGAACTTTTAAGGTACAGTACATTTCTTCATATTTAAAACTATGTAAGCAAATGAAGTTCCTAGAAAACCTCCTAACATGGTCTGAATACATTTTTAGTCTCAAGAAATCATGTTAAAAGTGGAAGTACACAGAGAACATTCACAGACAAATCATCATTCCAGAGACCAAAGCTGCCTGTGCTGGGTACAAAAGTGGCTCTCACAGCTTAAAAGATTAAGTTCTGTAGTCAGTTGTGAAAGACAGCTTTGGATATTTTCTCTTAGAGCAGGGTTTCTGAATCTCAGGAGTACTGGCATTTAGATAATCCTTTGTTGTGGGGGGTGCCCTGTGCATTGTAGGATGTTTACCCACTAGATGTCAGCAGTAGCACCCTAGTGCTAATAATCCAAAAAAAAAAAAAAAAAATTTAATTAAAAAAAAAAGCCTCCAGACATTGCCAAAAATGCCCCTAAGGGGCAAAATCAGCTCGGTTGAGATCCATGTTTGAGCATTTGTCATCTGGGTAATTCCATTTGCAGTCATCTAACAGCTCCATTATAAACTCCATGTTTTTTTAAAAAAAAAAATGCCATGTTACACCAAGAAACTTGGAGAGGCGAAGGGGGGGAAGAAGCAGTGATTTTGAAGACTTTTTATTCAAAATGATACCCTCCTGGATCTTTATTTATAGCCCTAACTACCTAAGGATGATAGTGTTTCAGCCCCACATAATATATAAGTCTATTTAAGAAAAGAGTTTAGATTTTACAGTAAAGGTAAGCCCAACTCTATACTACTGAAAACAAATTGTGGCAGAAAACCAACTCCTTATATCAGCAGGTATACTGTTTATTAGGTGGATTTCTTAGAATGAAATGTTACAGTAAAATTCTTGTAAAGTTCAATTATCATTTTAAAACATTTTAATAGAACTTTAAAAATGTTTAAAATCCTAGTGACAGGCTTTATCTAGACCTAAAAAAAAAAAGTTACTCTCTATCTTCTGTTCCAAACTTTATCTCATCAAATTTCAGAAAACCTCCAAAATCATCTTTAAGGACTTATGTTTTCCTCATGATCCATAACACTTTATCTTCTTTTGTATTACTTTTCTGTCTTTGTCTCCTTCCCTGTGCGCGCGCGCGCGCGCGCACACACACACACACACACACACACACCACACACACACACACACACACACGCGCGCGCGCGCGACTTTAAAAGCATCAGAACAGGTATTGTTTGCTAAAAAAGAAAAAGAAAAAAATGAACTATAGTATTGTCCATAAGAAGAGGGGAATAAAAGGTGCTTTTGTTCTAGAGCTTGTGTGTGTGTGTGTGTGTGTGTGTGTGTGTGTGAGAGAGAGAGAGAGAGAGAGAGAGAGAGAGAGAGAGAGAGAGAGAGAGAGAGAGAGACATGTAACAAATACTCAAATAAATGAAGAAGTAATTTCAAGTATTGAATTGATGGAAGGGGGTTATGCTGTTGAATGGACAAAGTTGAAACCCACCAAGCTAGAACTTTAGTGGAAGTAGATAGAGGATAATTCAAAAAAATATCTTCAGCCCTAATCGGTTTTGCTCAGTGGATAGAGCATCAGCCTGCGGACTGAAGGGTCCCAGGTTCGATTTCGGTCCAGGCCATGTACCTTGGTTGTGGGCACATCCCCAGTAGGGGGTGTGCAAGATGCAGCTGATCGATGTTTCCCTCTAATCGATGTTTCTAACTCTCTATCCCTCTTCCTTTCTGTAAAAAAAAAAAAAAAAAAAAAAATCAATAAAATATATTAAAAATAAATATCTTCAGATATTTTTCCAAAGCAGGTCAACAAAAACAAAACTTTTCAGACCTAAATCATTTAATTATTCATCAACAAACATAGATTTTGAAGAATCTCTCATATGCCAAGCAGAGTGAAAACTGGAACTACAAAGATAATTAAGACCTAACCCCTGAGAGAAGAAAATGAATAATGGTAGCACGAACTTGTAATAAAGTACAGTGGAGGCATAGGGGAAAGGAGTGACTTACTTTACCTGTGAAGATTTTACAAATGACTTTGGTGCCTTAGCTTGGTCTTGAAGGATGCATAGGAGTTGGCTTAGCAAACAAGGTGGGAACCTTGGGAGTAAGAGATTAATTTCAGGTGTGGGGGGAGGGGAAGGACTCTGCAAAACCACAGAGAAGTGAAAAACATGCTTCTGGACTCAGCGTTGCTGGAGCATAAAGCAAGTAAGGGAGGCAATGATGAGAGATAAGGTTAAAGATAGGGCACATGTGGAGGCCAACTAAGCTGATCTTTGGAAGTTAAATCAGTGGTTGATCAGGACTAATCATAGTAGTTTAAATACAGGTGGGAGGGCAGGAGTCGTTCCACAGTTGGCCAACAGAATTCATTTCTTGTGGTAATATATTCTGTAATGATCTAGATCGAATGAAACCCTCTAACCCTAAGGAAACAGTGGATTCCTGATACAGATTAAATTTATGGAAAACCTGTCATCTTTGTTAATATGAGAAAAACATGTGCATTATTCCTATAAATAAGTTCCTGGTGCTTTTTGCAACCACCAAGGTAATAATTGACTCACAGGAAA